GATGCTCTCAGACATGTACAGATCTCATTGCCCCATCTAAAAAGCACGATACAAGAAGGATTAAAATGAATTCAAAAGTGGGAAGCAGTACTAACCCGAAACATGGAAAAGGTTTACAGAGAGAGCATGAAGCACAAATCTAGAGCAGTGAAAAACCAGAGACACCCGATAAAGAAACAAAATCACTTAAGATATTAAGGGAAGGTTTAAAAACCCCTCTTAATTATGCCCAGATTTCAAACAGTGAAACTGAGCAGAGGGGAACCTTATTAGGAGATGATATTTGAAAAAGCAACGCCATATTCATCCAGTTTGCTGCGCTCGATACAGATCAGCCCTGTTCCGTTTCTTTTGATAGGGACAGGACACAGCAACAAGTCCGACTCCCACAGCAGAAGCCGCTCCGAGGAGCACACACTGACCTTGTATCCCCATGCTTGGTGCTTTTCCTCCTTCTTACATGCCCTTGTTCACTGACAGCAACACCTACTTCCCACTTAAATCCTGTGTGGGACCTTCAGCTCCGATTGCCATCTAAGCAACAACGTCCTAAAAGTACAGAAATGGGACTCACCGGACTGGTACAGCTACACTCACAACCAGCTCTGCCATCTCAGTCCTCCGCAGAGAGCAAAACATCTCGTACAACTCCTGTCTACTTTGAAAAAAGGTCTTTAAAAGTTGCAGAAATTATGAATGAACACTGAAAATACTGACCAGGGACCAGGTAACAAAAGCTAGAGATAGCTGAAGAACTTCTCGGAGCTGACAGTGCTTTGACCTTTCTAGATAGCCTTAGCCGCCACAGAGGGTCGCAGCTCTCAAGTGAATCGAGACAGGAATCCCATCTGTTCTGAGTCATCACCAGATCACGAGGAATAGCTTTCCCACGCGTAAGTCGGCATCCTTGATAGCACCACTAAGACACCATCGTCCTGAGACAGAGCAACCAGGAAGAGAGAGAAAGTGGCTCCCGGTTAGGTGACAGGAACAGAGAAAAGGAGAGGAAAGGTTAGAAAGCGGCAGTTTTAGGAGAAAAGACACGATCCAAACGGAGAGGGCAGCCCCCCAGAGAAGGAGAAGGGATAATGGTAAATATTGGAGAAGAGGTTTCTTTCTGTTCAGCACTTGTACATACTCAGCACAGCAGGATCCTAAGTTCTTGGCACTGCTGCAATTAAAGCAACAATAAAAGCAATTATTGCTGATGCAGAAGAGCCTCCAAAACCACAGCCGGCCAACATTACATGCTAAGGGTTTGACGATCAAAACTCACTGGGATGTTATCAATGGGATTATGTTATTCCACCTTGGACACACCCAAAAGGGCTGGAGTGGAGTTCATAGGTACAAAAAATGGACGGGTCATGTAAAGGGTTTCACTTACTGCGCTTTAATTTTAAGGTGCACAAAGCCCACTCTGCTCTCCAGGAACTGCGCGGCCTCAGCTCCACTCCTCTACCAGAAAGCTCTTAGACTGGATTTTAAGGATGTGCCCTTGAACTGGGTGACCTGTTAGCCGGGGTCTAGGGCGTGAGGCACTATGAACTGCTCCTCCAGCACTGCCTCCACGTGGGGTGGAACATCCCATTGACATAGCAAGGGAAGGTATAACGATTAGAAGGCACAAAGCTTAAGAGTAGGAACCAGAAGCCAAGAGATTAAGAAATCTGAAGGTGCTTCATGTTTCCAAAAGACAGCTGCACATCAGAGTGGAGTAAGGGCAGAGAAAGCAGGCAACAGTGTGCAGTACAAATGAAGGAGGTAGCTATAAGGCTTCACGTTTGCTTTAAACTTCCATAGGGTGAAATAGGAGATCAGCCTGTCCAAATGCTCTTACAGCAAAGGAGCGATGAGAATCAAGACACAGAGAGATATTTAAAGAAGAAATAACGCAACGAACACGGATTTACTTTGTGAGGACTGGGAACAGATCTGTTTGTCGAGAGAGACCAACAGAAAACAGGAATTACCCATAATGTGATACAACAAGAACCTGAACTAAAAGGGCTCTTTTGCACCTTTACTGCCTTGACCCATGGCAAGCCCAGGTCACAAGCATTAGGTATTTCCAGGCTTTTCAGAAGCAGCCTAATAATCACAGAGCACAAACAAAGCAAAAATAAAAATGCAGCATGCCAGGCTGGTCAGGGCAAGGGAACCCCATTCCCCTGGGACAGTTCCAATGGCACAGAGAAGGAAAGAGTCACGCACGATTGTGTCTTCCAGGACACAGTGGAGGTACGCCCAGGACAGAAGTGACTTTCTAGTGCAATACTGCGACCCTTTAAACATCATCAGGTCATTACTGAAACAATTTTTTTCCTCTCAAGAGGGAGATAATCCACCTTCCTCACCTTGAGCCATCTCCCCCCACTATCCTCAGGTAGGGCATCAGTAGTTCCACCTAGTCTCAGAGACAGCCATCTCCCAATACCTCACTGCCAGGGACAGAGATGATTCTTTCCTTAATGTTTGTAAAGTGCTTTGCAGATATAAAGCTCTGCCTAAGTGCTAAGTGTTATTACTACCCTTCTTCCGCCGACGATTAAAGGCAGAAACGAACTCCTTTTTCCCCACTCGATCGACACGTGTCAGCAGTCTGCATCAGGAGCTGAGCTAGCCTGCTAGCCTCAGCCTCCCTGCGCTCCCGCTCCCCTTTCTCCCTCAAAACTACCCAGTTTATTGTGCGTATTCCCGGACACCACCTTTTTAGTGTTTCTCGGGTGCGTGCAGCAATTCAGCCTTACCCTGTGGTCTGCGATAGTGGATGGTCTGACGGCACTTACGGAGCTGTTCGATAGGAGCTCCTGAACCATACAAGCTCTCAGCAAGGGGAACAAGACTGCCCTTTTCTGAAGGATCTACAAAGAAAAAAGTAACTTCTTGCTGCTCAGAATGAAAGCATTTTTCTTTCACAAATTACTTTGAATTCAGAGGGGCTTCTTCCCTCCAATTCAAGACACTACAGAAGAGGTCACCTTTGGAACCTAAACCACAGGGACAATATTTTACTACCCATTTAACAAAGCCCCTGCACTTCTGAAGGCCTTGTAATTTGTACAGCGCAGAGGATGCAGTATCCCCCACTAAGCTGTTAAGTGGGAGATCGGCACTTGGATGCAAAGTCCAGTTCAATTCTGTGCACCTGAACTTAGTCACCTCAATGCACGCTGGCTGTAAAGTGCTCCCGTTCTGCCTTGATGGCATTTGACATCGCTCGTGCACTGTTCGTGTGGCACCCAGGACAGCACGGCCCTGACCCATGCCTGGGGCTTCCAGAAACCACCTAGTGACCACAGCTAGAGGCGAGGGATAACGAGACCCCAGGGATTTGTCATGAGCTAAGCTCCTGGGAAGCACAGCATCCTCCCACAATGGAAGTATCGCAGCTAAGGAGGGGAAAAGGAAAGCAATAACATCTCTGTGATTATAAGTTAAAATAAGAATTTCTTTCCCAGTGAGGGAGGACAGAGCTCCAGTGAGACTGATTGGTAACTCTGCTGAGCTTTGATACAAAGGCATTTTGTCAGTTAAAGGCCTTCTACAGGTCACAGTATGTTTAACTTTCTAGATAGGTAGTTTCTCTCCTGCTCCCATCATTGGAAAGTGCCGGCCCAGATAGGTCTAGCAGGCTCCTCCCGGCACCGAGGCTCCGCACAGCAGTGCTCCGGTACTTTTAGTAGCGACTCGGTCAAGCTTTGCAATGCGGTGCTGTGCAACCGAGAGGCGGACGAGGGAGGGTGGGCGAGGGATGCACACAGCTTCCCCCATACTCCGATCCACTTTAAAAGCAGGGGGCTTGCAATCGTACCTGCCCAACCTCTCTCCTCTCAGTCCCCAGGGGGAACAGCACAGGAAGGAGAGAACGAACATGTCTCCCTGTTTGCTTAATAAATACCTTCCAAAAAGCTTAGCAGCTCTGTAAACATACAAGAGATTCAAATACTTGGTAAAAGTTCATCTCTCCCCTGAACTCCCAGTGACAGAGGCTGGCACTGATCTGCGATTGCTGCATATGAGTGGTGTGAGGACCCCGGAGTCCAGGAGAGGCTCCCAGGCTCCGCAGGGGCCTGGCAAATAACGCTGGGTGTTGAGAAGCCTGTTAAATTTTTAAGTTGATCCATCCATGCAGCTCTGAGATGAGAATCCTGTCAGTCCTGCAGGAACGTCACCAGCTCAGAGTGGTCCAGGGAACTGAGAAGCGACGATGGTGACATCCAAGAGAACTCTTTCTGGCAAAGAAGGGAGGTGGCAGAGGCCTTTGGCTCTTCAGAACAGTGTCCTTCCCTCTCAGAAGCAGCCCGGTGGTCACTGAACACAGAAGTACTCAGAGGAAAGAAAAACCACAGTGCCAGCCCCGTTCTTGCTGTGCCTGGCCAGGGGAGGGGAGACTGCATTTGGGGAGAATACAGCCCCAATGGCTTTAAAACAGGAGAGTGTCCTACAAAAGCAATCCCCATGGAAGTGTGACGAATTGGATCTTGGGCCAGATCCGACATGGTAGTGCAATAGGGCCCAAAGTCTCAATCCGCGCATTTCCAAGCCCACTGCCACGGTACCAAGGGGATGATCTGGCCTGGCCCCTTGCTTCTGTCTATCCAGTCCTCGTGCTTCAGAGAATCCACCCCTTCACCCCAGAGGATTCCCTGAAGCAGGGTATCTCACTCCCAAACTCAGCAGGTGCCCTGGGGCAAGGAATCTGCCTCTGAAATGAAATGAGACAGGCTGAGGTAGGGAACTCCCCTCTACCCTTAGGGACTCAGACCCTCTTAGCGTAGCAGCCTCGTGAGCCAACGCTGCTTCTCCCAGCTGCAAGCATGGGCCTCGAGCACAATCCATCCTCCAGACACCAGCGTGCCACCACCGCATCACCCCAGAAGGAACGTTTCCAAGCTGTCTCCTCCGATCCGAACTGCCCGATGACCACCTCCTCCAAGTACTATCCCAGCACTCAGCCTACGGGATCAGCTCTCAGAGCCGCATCCCTTTACCCTGCACTAGAGGGCTGAAATCATGAGGTCGTCCTGCTTGGCAGGGCTGGTTACGTGCCCAGAGGGGGTGGAAGTCCGGATTTTGTCAGTGGCCAGGCACTCCTGGCTGCTCACGCCTGTGGGAGTGATGTCCATGAGTTCTCCAGATGAACTAAGGGGGAAAGAGGGTGAGACAGAGATGCCCGACGAAGGATCTGTTGAGCCTGCAAACAACCTCGGGGGCTTTGGGACTAGGTTGGGTTCATACTGTGCCCTCAGCAGGATCTCCTGATCACTGACAGACTTGGGCATCTCTGCAAAGTCACTGGAGCTGTCTGACACCATCATGCAGTAGATGTCCTGGAAGGAGCTGCTTTTGCTATCCAAATTAAAGAGACTGTCTATGAACTCAGCAAACTCCAGCACTTGGGGACTGGGAACATCAGTGAGCCGTCCGTTCTGGAGGGACAGCTCCTCACGAGGGGCTAAGGAAACACGGTCCCCCTCACTGCTGGCCCCCTCCTCGCTGCAGCGTCGCTGGGGGGTAGTGCCACCGCTGTTGAGCACGTTGTCGGGGGGCTGAGTCTCCTGGGAGTGCTTGGAGAGGCTATCAGCAGCCAGCAGCTCTGTCCGCGAGCTGAGGGAGGGGTTCTCCTCAGGGATAACGGGGTCTATATAAAAGCAGTGCGTCTCATCCTTCTCCATGACAGCATGGAGGCTGGGGGAGCCTCGGATGCTCCGAAAACCAGAGGAGCGCCTTGAATCAAAGCTGTAGATGGATTCATTGTCCGAGAGGCTCTCCATGGTTGCGAGAGGGGCACGACGGTCCTGCAGCTCCACAGACAGACGTTCTTTTGTATCCAGGAGAAGCAGCTCCACAGGGTCTTTCTGCACAGGAGAAAGCGGCTTTGTCTCATAAAACCCCTCCAAGCTAATTTCAGAATGGGACTTGCTCCTGCAATGACAAACAGACAACGTGAGGCTGCAGCACTCCGCAGCACCGCAAGCTGCCAGAACAGCCAAGTCTTGGGCACAGAGTTCCTCGTACACACCGAGAGCACACGCTGTTGCTCTAACCAGAGCCATTCACAACTGCAAGAAATCTCCTCTCTCTCTCTCCTCCCAGCTGAAAATATGAGGTACAGTCTCTTCCCTCTGCAAACTCAGGTTCTTGCCCTTCTCCCTTTTCCCTTAGGGCCATGGTTCTGCTCGCAGTGAAACTTGCAGCGCTTCTCACTGAAGCGCCCAAACCCATGGTGCGGTCTCCACACATGGCAGACAAATCCCTCTCTCACCCAACACCTCTGTATTAGAGAGGACTGAGGCAAGAGAGGTTAAAGGACTAGCCCACCGTTAACCTATTACTTTCTCTTTCTTCTCACACTCTGGAACCGCTCCAGTCTCACGCCTTCCCCTCCTTCTCCACGCTGGTAACCCCTACCTTACTACCACAAATGCCAGGAGGCTGCTGGAGCATTGCCCATCACCAGTTCAGCTACCACTTCAGGTAGCTTCCACTTCTGCAAGGGGTCTCTCCATCATTAGCTGCTGGAGGAAAGCTGTTGACATACACTACAAAGAACAAGCTCTTCCCCAAACCACTCCTTCGTATACCTTCTAGATGTTCCTCCACCTTTTGGCCTCTGTCAGACTGTTGATGTCGGTGCTTGGTGATGGTCCAGCTTTCAGAAAACCACCCCTGTACGAACACCTCCAGCACTCAGAACATGCCTTTTCCCCTCGCCTGCTTTCCCCTAGACGGAGATTCCTGCTCTTGTCCTTCACAAACAGGACACCAACTGCTCTCCCCTCACCTCTATCCGTGTTCCCAGATCGTCCTGTTTATAACATCACAGAAGTCCCATCATAAAGTAGCTTTAAAGCTTATGGCTTTCACTGCTTCTCAGCTTTTGAGAATCACCATACAGGCTATCACTGGGCACAGAAATCACACAGGAAAACAGAAATTTGCCTGCAAGACTGCAAGCTTTGCCTTTACGATTTCAGGGAAAACCCCATTTGTCCAGGTAAGGAGAAAAGGAAGTTTCTTCCATACCCTCACAACTTCTAGGTTCTCCTGACCTTGCTGCACTCACAGATTCTTGAGCAACACAAAGAATTCCGCTCCCCCCCAACATGACACAAGACCTACTGAAGCCAAAAGTCCCACAAAGGCAGCCCTTGGATCTATCCTTCCCACAAACATTGATCACAACGCCCCAAGAGAAGGAGGATCCACACCTAGAACCAACAACCCTTCAAAAGAAATCAAAGATATATCCTCACTTAGTACTGCTGTTCCTTCTGTCCGCTGTTATGGCTCCAGTTCCGATCTGCACTGAAGGTCCACTAGGCAGGGGCTGACTCTGGAAGATCAACTCCGGGGTGAGATCCACTTCTGTAGGACTCACCATCACTTTGGCTGCAGAAAGTAAAGCTGTTTTCCCCTTGTTGTAATTCTCCAAGACCTATTCAAGGCAAGCAGAGGAACAGTAGTGCTTTACCGGAGACAGCAGCTTTGCTGTTCTCAGCTCAGGGCTTTCAAACAGCTGGGTTTGCCTCCGTTTCTTATCAGTGCCTTCCGCAAGCACAGGGCAAAATCTTGAGATAAAGGATTATACCAATAAATTCTGACATACTCTATCCTGTCAGAATGCCCTGCTGGGAATCCAGTGCTGGGGGGGTGACCAGCAGGATGCTGGCAGGAGCAGCCTTCAGACCAGCAGGGCAGAGGAGATGTGGTTACACCTCCATGGGAGAGCTGCACGGCTAGGAACCGTAGCTCGGTGGCAGAGACCCATTCTACAACCATTACACTTAAGCTCAATCACCCTTCACACTAACAGAGGGGCAGCAGCCGCAGCATGGAGGACTTGTCACAGCTTGGATTTTACCCGAACGGTAGTCTGTAACGGGCAGCTTCTGAGAGAAGGAACCAAACACCCAACCTCACATCATTACGACATCAAATTTGGAAAGAGGACCTAGGCTGGGACTCTGGATACTGGGATGGAGATCTACATTCTATTTCCAGACCTCATTGCATTCAACTCTAATAGCCTGTGCGTGACTGGCCCAGGGCACAATCTTCCTTCCTCCTCCCCTCCAAAGTAAATGGTCTTGTGTATTTAAACAGTCAGCACTCCTGGGCCAGGGCTACCTGCCTTGCATACAGAAAGGCCCCTGACAAGGCATTCCCTTCATTAGGGCACATAACTGCCCCTTGATCCTAATTCTCTGCATTACCTTGTTGAGCCCTTCCATGACCACGTATGGGAGGTGTTCGTGCAACATCGCCGGTGAGATGATCACTTCATTAAACGCCTTATTGTCACCCCAGATCGCAAAGTAAGTGGGATCCTCTTGCTCGCAGCAACTGGGGGAGGAGTTGGGATCCAAACAGCGAAGAAAACAAGGAGCAGCGGATGAAAGAGCAGGCCAATATTTTGGCACGCAAAAGAAATAGCAGGTTGCAGAGACAGAAAAAGCAACAGGAGGAAAAACAGAGGGAGAAGATATTAAAGTACACATGCTACTGCCATTGCTCCAAAACTCTGCACTAGCCAACAGTGACATGACTATCTTTTTATTCTGACAGCACAGACACAATCCCTGTCACCGTAAGACAGCAGGAAATAAAAAGAAAATCACCTCCTTCATGGATGGGTTCCTGTCTAGGGGAGTCTTTTCCAAAAGATTTCCCACCCCCCTCCACCATAGGCTGGCTTGGCAGCTCTGCGCGTACCCACCAGCACTGCTCTGCGGGATGATTGTGCACCACGTGGATGATGCGGCCAGGTGGGTAAAGCGGTGTGCTTGCAGACAGGGCAATAGTCAGATCGCTGGGATGGGTCCAGAGGCGATTACTCGTGACCGAATTTTCTTCCGTCTCTTCAGGGAGTTCTGACTTGGGTATGCACTTTGTAGCACCCACAATGATTCGCCACTGTCCAACACAAGAGAAAAGAGGGAGAATATTGAGAAGAGAAAAACATCACAGAAAAGCAGAGTCATCTCGCAAAACACTATTGGGAAGTTTAAACTGAACACCTAATACCAGAAAAAAAACCAAACACCCAAGTCTTGTGCCTCGATTGTTTAAATAACAGCCTAGAGACACAGATAACCCTGCCCAGAAAAGCTGTTTCTTCCTTTCCCAATTTCAACCTTAGAAGTGGCAACACTCATCCTTCATTTTTTTGCTGGAGGTTTTTGTAGAGTTAAGGATTTAAAGCAAGCACCAACTTGTCCACCAAATGATAACTTAATATCTTCCAGGATAAACAAGGTAGATGGAATCTGAATTTTTAATGTACAAAAATAAGCAAAAGATTATACAACATAAGCAGACAAAAATTCTGTTTAGGCATTCCTTTATGCACTAAAAGAAATCCTAAAAACCACCCCAAAAATTCACCAAAAAACCCATAAGCCAAAACACAAAAAAACATAGAATGCTAACAAGAAAAACAAGTGTAAGCTCAGTTTTCTCCCTCTACAGGTCATTTCTATAATATTTTACCCCTAAAAATCTTAATGTCTTATGTTTTTTCTATCTCAGTGTAATGGTAAAGAAGCCTAGGGAGGAAAAACTTTCCACATTTCCTACCTCCGTAACATTAACAGACCGCTCATCCTAGAGCGGCACCACCCAGGCAGCACACAGCAGTGGCTATAAGCAGACAACTGTTGTGCTTCCTAGCCTGTTACTGGCCCAGAAAAGCTACAGTTGGAACACAGACTTCAAAACAGGCTCAGGTGAGAAACTTTCCTGCTCAGTTATTTTAGACCTGTGATGGTGAACTTGCAGCACATGAGCCAGCATCTTCACGCAGCCTGCAAACAGAGTGCAGCCCTTTGCCCTGACCTCTCCAGTTGCCTTCCAGCTCTTGCCATCACTCCTCTGGTTACCTAAACAGTAGTCACAGTGGACCTGAGGAGACCTGGAGGGCAGCAGAAGTCTGCTGTATTGCTATGTGACACTAAAAGTTTACCAGTGCTGCTCAGAGACTCACCTTCGGGTGTCTGTTAATCTTTACCCTTACCTTTGGTTTGTTACTTCTTTGAAGAACATCCAGAAGCTGCCGGCGAAATCCCTCCAGCTGAGAGAGACCGATTCTGGAAAAAAAGATGTGTTTACAACAGCTGGGCAGGAAACCAGACGGCAGGGACGCACAGCACAGAAGAACAAGAAGCTATGCTACAAAAGATACTAACTACAAGAATGCAAGAATACCATAATGCAGATCATTTCAGAGGTGGGTTGTGGCATCACCCATGACCAGTAACCAGGGTTAAGAGGCCACCGGAAAACATCGTGACAATAAACAAGTATGAAATGTAACAGCACAATCGGATCAGTGAACACAGATATGAGAGAGGTCAATGAACAGGTAACGAGGAAGATGATGCAACCAGAGAAACAAGTGAGCAAGAAACAAGTATAGGATGACACAGAGCAGGTAGGTTAGAAAGGTGTCAGAGCTGTATGACACCGCTAAACAGGTTACAGGATGGACAAGATTTTGTCATACAGGTTACCAAAAGACACATTCAATAACACATAGTACTTTTCCTCCACTGAATTCTACACGCCTTATATTGTACAGACAGAAATGTCATCATTTATCTGACGTCACAGGGGAGAAGCAAAAGCAAAATGCAGGTTGCCTGGCTCGTAGTCCAACGGCCTGTGTTCAGCAGAACATGTCCCAGGAGATGATGAGAGGTGAGAAATGCCAAGACACAAGAAATGAGGGAGGTGGTTCAGAGATGTGAGATGACAGGGAACAGGTATTCAGGGACAAACAGTACAAAATGAGATGACAGCACATCTCGTTCAGGGCAGAGCGCGAAGAGGTGTGAGATAACACAGGCAAGCAGGAGGATGGCATTGAGATGTCAGATACCGCAGTGAGTATAATTACAGAGGCAGGATGTTCACCCTTCTCTTTCATACAAGCAGCTGAGAGATGGGGAGGGATATGCTTATAAAACGGTGTGTGAAACACCAATATAGGTGTCCAGGTAAAAGACGCAGCATTCCAGGTAACTAGGAAGACAAGAAGCACACAAGGATAGGGAAATGAGGAAACCAGAGACAGATATGATCTAGGTGTTTCTGAGAAGAAACAGGCAACTTGGGTATAGAACAGCAGACACTCATCAAGAAATTCAGACACTTCTCAACTTGCCTGGGCACTAGATCTTTGCCAAGCACGACTGCAGTCACAAACTCTTTTGAATACTCCATGGCATCCTCACTGGAAGAGAAACAGGACCAAGAAGAAGCAAACAGTGTTTCACTAGCAGCAAGCTGCACTTCATTCCCAGTTTGCCGCTGGTGTCAGAGAGGTTACCAAACAGTAAACCAGGGCCATACAAACCACAACCCAAGCTGCTCAGGGCATTTGGGACTTGCACCTTGATAAAGAAAAGCCTGATATTCACATCCCGTGCCCCAAGCAACGTTACTCTGCATATGGCTCTGAATATACTTGGAAAAGGAAGTGTTTTAACTCAAAGTCTTAGTAGTCATTTTCCGATAGTTTGGGAATGGCCGGGACAGCAGAAAGAAGATATTCCATTCTCCTAAGACTACTTTGCAAAGACAGTGTAGAACTGAGATGGCCACTTTCTGCAGGAACCCTACTACCAAGGTAAGAAGGAATTAAGGCTTCCACTCTCTGAGCTGGTTCTGCAATCAGCTACCTTCCTAGAGATCTTCTGAACCAGTTACCACAGGCAGAGGCTGCATCATTGACCGAGAGATGATCCTGGCCATGAGACACAGTGCAACTCAAGTGTGGCAGTCAGAGGCACCTCCTTGGACTCTGAAACAGTTGAGGTAACACAGCACAGCTTGGCCCAAGCTAGCAAGGGATCTCAGGCGTGGAAGCTCTGAGCAGAAAGCTGTAAGACTCTCCTGAAACACTCTACAGAGCTACTCCTCTAGAGCTGCAGAAGACCAGGGATTACCATCATAACAAGGCATGCCAATATCCCGATTCATTAGCAGGATAGTTTAAAACCCTGGGCTATTCCTGGAACACAATGCAGTAACTATCACAAGAAGCTTCTGATAATCCACAGCTGCTTTCAAGTGCCCTCATGATGTCTGCCACAACTAGAAAGACCTTATCTCACTTCACAGCAATCAAGCGGGATGTTTTTTGTTTGGCTGCCATGTAAGTAACATGACCAGCAGGTCTATTCTGATTTACAGTGGGAGGAATTCACCATACCCCTCTCCAGAGGTCTCCGAGGCATTACACTAGATTTCCCCCTGCAGCTGAGGAAGAGAAACCGGCACCCAAGAAGCACAATCCCTCTGACCTGTTTTAGGCACCCACTTTAGAATGACAGAAATCACACCCCACAAGTGCCAATTTCTTTGTCGGCCGCACAAGGAGTCCAAACAACCAGATCAACGGATGCAGACATCTACAGTTGATCAAGTATCTCCCTTATCGTACATCTATTCACAGCAGATAGGGAGAGGAGACACCGGCGCTGTGCATAGAATAAGGGAATTGCACCCCATTCACTCAGCTTGCATTTTCCACTAGTCAGGGTGAAATTAGCTCTATAGCCACAGACAACTTAGGTCATAAGCCAGAATATTTGGGAGAGCGGCCACCTGTCATCATAACCTAAACCCCAAACTGTAGCACAGAGCAAAGGCTGCCAACAACCCTCAGCTCTTACAGACTGCCTCTCCATTCTTCTCGGGGCAGAGATTTGTCTTTTGCTGCTCCTCAGAGCATCACAAACAGGATCAGATTCAGCTACAACTACACACCCCTCCTCTCTCTCACCGGTCCTCCTGCCCCAACACCTACCTCAGCAGCCCACCTGGGGGAGAATAGGCAAAGCACTTCAGTGACGGGTACTGCGGACGCAAGAGGAAGGACAGGATGGCAGCCGTGCCAGCTCCTAGGGAATGACCAACCACAATCAGGCCATAGTGTTTTGTTCCTCTCCCCTGAAAACAAACAAAAAACCCAAGAAATTGAGGTCAGACTGAAAGGTAAGTCCACAACCCCCAAAATCTGTCCCTTTCCCCAGCTGTGAGTCTCTCCTATACACGAGCACTCCAGACTCCAGCGAACCCTCCAGCGTGTCGACCGCACCACACAGCTTGGTGTCGTTGGCAAACTTGCTCGGCGTGCACTCAATCCATGCTGTCCACGTCACTGACAAAAACGTTAAACAGCGCCGTTCACAACCCCGACCCCTGAGGGACACCACTCGTCACCGGCCTCCACTTGGACATTGAGCCATTGACCACAACTCTTTGAGTGTGACCATCCAGCCAAGTCCTTACCCACCGAGTGATCCATCCACCAAATCCATGTCTCTCCAATTCAGAGACAAGGATGCCGTGCGGGACAGCGTCAAATGCTTTGCACAAGTCAGTAGATGACGTCAGTTGCTCTTCCCTTATCCACCAACACTGCAACCCCATCCTAGACGGCCACCAAATTTGTCAGGCATGATTTGCCCCTAGCGAAGCCATGTCGGCTGTCACCAATCACCTCTTGATTTTCCATGTGCTTTCACCTAGTTTCCAGGAGGATCTGCTCCATGATCTTGCCAGGCACAGAGGTGAGACTGACTGGCCTGGAGTTCCCCGGGTTTTTCTTTTTCCCTCCCTTTTTAAAAATGGGGGTTATGTTCCCCTTTTCCAGTCAGTGGGAACTTCAGACTGCCACAAATGTGACGGGTAGTGGCTTAGCCACTTCATCTGCCAGTTCCCTCCAGACCCATGGATGCATCTCATCAGGTCCCATGGACCTGTGCACCTTCAGGTTCCTTAGGCGGTTTCAAACTTGATCATCTCCTACAGTGGGTGGTTTTTCATTCTCCCAGTCTCTGCCTTTCCGTTCTGTGACTTGGGTGGCACGGCTTGTGGCAGTTCTGGCCATATTCTTGAGTTCAGCTTCAGACAGTACTTAATTTTCTACACACAAGCCAGTTGGCTCCATCTCATATTAATCAAGTTCTCTCCATCCTTGTGGGTCAGGTCCAGTTAGTTACACTAACTTTTCATCAGTTACAAGTTGGACCCACCACACAACGCCAGCTTCAAACAGAACAGAATATGATACCTATTACCACGCAGAGGAGACAACCAAAGCATAGAGCTTCGAACATCACCGTATCCTTACCAGTCAGGTAGCAATTAAGCTTTATAGGACACCAGGAAAATTTCTCATGAGTAACAGCTCACTTAAGACCAATTTTCACTTTCTGGGCAGAGAGGAATAAAGCACCATATAAAGAAGTCAGATGCCTATGTACCTCTCCCTGCGTCTACCAAGCATCAAGGCAGCGTTGACTGGTATGACACTCAAATTTCAGGGAACTATTGAGGCTTTTATCACTCTTTTCCTTCTCCCTTGAGCTACTGCTAGCTTCCCGATGGGCACCGCTCGGGCCAAGGCACTCTTCGGGCATGAGAAAGAGACAGCTGTCTGACGGCAGGGAATCAGGCAGTTCAGAAGTTCCCTCTCCGATGGGGACAGACTGTGCTTTACTGACACATAAACTGAGGTAAGCTGCTTCATAACTTCTCTCTTGGGTTCTCCAATAGCTCTCTATCACAAGAAATGCGCACACAGAGACAGTCAGCATGGCATCCCATTGCCATCTCCAAAGAGAATCTCCATAGAGATGAGATTTTAGTTCCTGTTGATTTGTTTTTAATGTTCCCTGTCCTGCATTGCCACCAAATGGGACTTCTTGCCTTAGCTTTGCCTGAGCAAAAAAGAAATAAATCAGGAGCTCTGCAGTATTGGTGGTTTCAAAACAAAAAAAAAGTCTTGGGGGAATGAGCTACTAGTTGCCTGTCTGGCAATCCAGAGGGGTAGGAATTGAAGGAAAACTTGAGAAGTTAGTACAACAGATTCAGGGACACGGAAGTTTCCCTAAAAACAGCGTTTTAGGGAAATCTCGTCTTCTGTATATCCTGCAAGGATAGAAGAAAACTAATACTCACCAAGTCTCGTCCAAAAGCCTGAGAAAGCACCATTTCTTGCTCCAGTTTCTTCTTGATGTACTCAGCAGATAGCACCATTCCCTGAGGGAAACACAAAGACAGAACAGGATGGCAAACGGTTGTATACCAGCCCCGATCTAACCGTCCAGCAGACACGGCAGGTGTCGGGGCTGAGGGAGAACACTGACTCCACTCCGCATTTAGGAAGAGATTTCATTAGGCAGAAGTCTTGGCTCACCGATTACCAGAGCCACAAACTCTTTAGAAGTAATGACAGTTCTTAAATTAAGATAATACTCAAAGGCCCTATTCCTAGGTTTATGGTGCAAACTCTAGGGAAAAAAAAAAAACCAAACAAACAGCACACCACCACCAAACCCACCCACTTCTTGAACACAAGGTTGTGTATCTGGTGGTCCAGCAGGCACTGGGACCTGCAGTACAACGGAGAAACAAACTTTGATTTTCTCCACGTCCGTGCCTTAACAGCAAAGCTGCACTCTTCCATTTAACTCTGTGAATGAAAGCAGGAACTAGCCCAACAAGTTCACAGGGAAAATAATACAAACCCCAAGACATCACTGGAGGGAAAAAGTGGCAGCGCTATCTGTATAGGAAGAGTTATCGATGACTGGAGAAGGTAGCAACTATTAAGGGGATTCAGCTGTCAAAAGACATTAATCACAATTTATTAAGGGTTTTTATTCACTAGAAGCTAAGAACTGCTGGAAGATGGGAAACAAGCTGATAGTCTGGTTCTAAACATTTATCCTCTCTGCTGATGGCTATATCTGGAGAGCACTGCTCCCTCCGTGTAATCATTACAAATGTAGCTGATCTGTTATGAACAAGCAACTAGAATTTGGTCCGTTGCATAAATTCTTGGTGATGCCTTTACTACAGCTTAATTCAGTGGTAAGCAAGCCCCAGCTACAAAGCCTGAAAAACAGTGATGTAGTCCGGGGTGAACGTGGGTAAACAGAAATCATCTACTTCTAATTTGGTGATTACAGACCTCCAATAATTCACATTGCCTGGGCTCGCCAAAACCCAGGGATGATCACCTCCTTTGCTATTTTCCATTACACCCCTACCTGAAAACACTTTAAGTACAAAGTGAACATTACTGAGCACTGTTTAATCTCAGAGACATGAAAGAATTCATGGCCTTCTCAAAAAGCAAAGAAATGTGGAATTTTCAAAGTCCTCAATATCCAACACACCATCAAACCAATCTGACTACTGAAGAGCCAGAGCAGAACACAGGTGATTCTGCCGAGCCCGTAAATGGGACATCTGTAATGCTACTGTCGTTATCAAAAAGCAGACGCCGTGATATTCCGTGTCGGGGTTCAGGTTTCTCAGCAGCTAGCCAGCTTCCACTGCATTCAGAAGAGTCTCCATTTCCAACTCTAATGAGAAGTGAACAGCAGACTACTTATATAAATTTCTAACATAAATTTAGGATTCTATTTTTGAAAAGCATGACCTAAATCCATGGTGATATTACTAATGGGCTGTTAGTCAGCCTTATAGCTATATTTTTGATAATTAGAGTATATTCTAATATAGACAGTGATTTTAATATTATGGAATGAGACTTATCACTGCAAAGTTACATTCAGACTTTCCATTAAAATGGACACTGTTTCCTAAGTTTCAAAGGAATAAAACTATCCAGGCTTCATTTTCAAACCTCACACAAATAACCAAACAGCTTGGAGATCTGGGGAAAGCGAAATGGAAATATGCTGTATTGCTTTGCAGTTTGAAGGCACAAAACTGTTGTGTGACATTTGAATTGTGTGTGTGAAAACCCACAGAGAGGGTCTATTTGGTAAAGAGCTCGAGAGTTACTGCTGTTACTGACTGTTCTATCAAACTGGTGAGAGCTGTTATCACGGCCGAGCTCCCAGGGCTTCCTTTAGCAGCTACTTCTTGTCATCCCAGTTGGCACAACACCAGGAAAAAACCTCCGTAACATCATCATTTTAGTAGTTTGGTTCTACACAAGCTCAACAGAATTAAGTGTGGATTCATGCCCTTGACTTATGATTATTTTTTAAATAATTTTGTTATAAAATCAGTGGGTTTTATTTCAAAAATAGTGAAGCTAGATTTTTTTTTTGTAGTTAATTCCCCCTTGGAATTGTGACAATCCCTTCTTTTTTTTGGCATGCTAACCCATAAACCTTAGTTACATCTATGGTTTTTGATCCCAAATAGCTCAGAGACCTAATATATATTTTAACTGTGGCATTTGCAGCAACCCCAGCAATCAAACGCTTTCAGCTGTGGTACCAGTGGAGCGATAAGAAGGCTCATATAAACATCAAGAGTTTTAATTTGTAGGATGTCTGATTGACACCACGTGAAATGCAGCGACAGGCAGGCTCCGCAGGTGGAGATAACAGACCGTGCCAGCCCGCTGGGTGCGCGGGACAGAATCAGCAAGAAAAATAACAGAAATCAAACAACTTACAGGAAGCTCCCGAACGACCAAGTACTTTCCTCCAAATTAAATGCGTTAGCAAGACACTTCATTTATTTTTGTATTAAAGTTGACTTCTGGACATTAAAAATGCATTAAGACAGACTTTTAAATTCTATTATCTCCAATAGTTTCCCCTCAGGAATCAACAGTACATTATTGTCTGAAGATTAATATTGATAATAATTTAAGATAAAGCTATATTTCTGTATTAGCAACAATCAAAAAAGAAATAACACAAAGGCCAAATAAAACCTCAATATAGAACAAAGAGAATGATCTGATAATGTTTCATGTAAGTTACTGGCGTATGAATATTTTCACATAAAGATCAAAAGAAAAGCCAACTTCTGCAAGGATCTATTACTAGGCTTTTCTGCACATTAAAAATAGAACAAATTCCCCTTGCTTCCCTTTGGTTTCCTTTTACCTTTCTCTCCTTGTACAAACTGTCGGTCACAGGGATTGTGCAAAGTCACTTTGAGCTAAATGAATTAGTACGGAAACAAGCGGCATTATCATGGAGAGCAGACCTAACACTTCAGAAGCATTAAACAAACAATAAAGATTCACATAGCTAGCTATCAGTTATGTGACAAAACACTGCCTCATTTATCTATGTTTCCATAACATGTCCTGTGTAATTGCCAGGTTGATTAATTTTCTCATTTTGGGGGAAATAAAGGAAATGCCCATGAGCCAAACAGAAGGTACATGACACTCTTCAGAGACTTGCTCTGGGAGACTCGGAGACCACCCAGAGTCCAAACACCACTTTCTTAAGTAACTGCTTCTTTACCAGACCCATTATCCAGCGAAGCATTTGAGTACGCAGTTATCTATCAGCTGCTAATGCTCTACTTCCAAAAGCAAAGCATCAAAGCCCGGAGAAGAGGTTTGGCATTCAGGCAGGACATCACCAACGAAGCAGGAGCTCCCAGCGCATGGCTCCCAAGGAGTTACGAACTCCATGTCCTGCCCTGAAGGGACCCCGGCCCGGTGATCAGCAACATCTCGTCTCCCCGAGCAGCAGCATTTCCAGCAACCACTACGTTCCTTCCAACACGCACAACCTCCAGTTTGTATTTTTCTCTCCCAGTCTGGCACTGCATCTTGAGAGGCTGCCAAATTCCTGATAATCTTAAAACTCAGCATGTGTGTCATTACTTTGCTGGACTGGGGCAAAGGTGAGCTCTATAGTAAATTGATTTAGTCAGCCCAGTCTTGATCGCTAACACAGACACATAGCATCAGTCTAATTACACAGATGCAGGTCCTGCCAGTATCCTTTTATGAGGTTCAATGCCTATCTCATTGCAACAGAATTTTAAAACACATTCTCAGGGTTTGATTGCAAATGCTGAAAAGGTCATTGGAAGAAAAAGTAATTTGAATGACTCCAACAATTTTGTTCTAGGTCTTCACAGATGACTTTTACAGTTTGGTTTTTACTAATTGTATGGGGTTTTTAATTACAGACATAGTGCTTTTAACTGTTACACTGAGGACTTTATTTTAACATCTCAAAGCCATTTCGCTGCTATTATGTAACACCCTTCTTAAAAGCACCTCAAACAATTGAGACCACTTTTTTTTTTGGCCTATAATTAAAAAAGTCAAAACATTAGAAAAAGAAATGGTAGGGGTTTTGTTTGGGGTTTGTTTTCTTTTTACACACCTTGTGTCCCAGCCACGTTCCATGGTGACCCTCAACCGGAAGGCGCTCCGCATCCCCAGTGAGGTCAGTCAGGGCATCCTGGAAGAAAAGGAGTCACCGTGTTCCAGGTAAGTCAAACACCAAGTGCGAGTCAGGAAGGTCTCAGACTCTCCTGAAAGTCTGCCAGGGTGGTCAAGGCTATGCGAAGTCACTGCACAGCGCACTTACTTTTGGAGACAGAGTTCCTCGGATACTAATGACCACCTTCTTCTTATCGTGGTCCACAGCCACATAGAAAGGCGTTTCATAAACCTGGAAAAGATCCACCACTGTAACAACCAGGTAAGACATTCCTGTTTAATTATTCTCCTGCTCAGGGAAAAGGAGGCAGAGCAGCGCGATAGGTTATGCCTCGTGCGTAAGCACTCCTCAGAACAATCTGATTTTTGGCAGTAGCAAATATTTCTGTCCAAGTGGTGGAACTCCTTGATGGAGAGAGAGGATGGGAAGCTCTAAGGTCAGAAAAAGGTTTAAGTTTCCTTCTCTGTACCACCACACCGGGAAGCACATGTAAATCCCATTAGGAAAGGCCTTCGGAACATGCCCCAAATATGAAGGGGGTCACAGATGCTCCTTACCGCATCGTGGCAAGATGTGTAAACAATGTCCACCGACGTCATATTCTCATCCAAGAAGTGGCGCCGGATGGCAATGGCATTGCAGCCACAGCAATTGTCCTCTTCAATGGTGACACTAGGTGCATAGCGGGGACGTGAAGGACAGAGACAGCAACATCTGCAGAAGAAAAAAAAAAAGGGTTGAAGAAAAGAGGAACGT